CTGCCATTCAGTCAGTTCTCTATCCACTTCACCGACCACTCATTCAGCCTACACTTCCTGAGCTTCCCTAGGAGGATTTTATGGGAGACAGTGTCAAAAGCCTTTGCTGAAGTTGAGGTAGACGACATCCACTGCTCTCCCCTCATCTCCCTGATGCCGTGAAAAGCTGGAATTGAAGACTCAATAGTCCGAGGGCTATTAAGCAGGTATTCTTTATTATGGCGCCGGGCACACGGGGGATCTCTCCTCCAAACGTGCGCGCCAAACACCCTGTCATTTCAGGTTAAATACAATCACAATATACATATTCATTATATTTCCAAGAAATGTTTAGCATATTCATGACTTTCCCAAGAATTAATTAGCACATGTTAATGTTGTTCACACATGTCTGTTAGCATCCTCGGGTGGTCTTTGGGGGTCTTAAGATGAAGGCTTGTACTCCTCATCATGGTGTTCACTGGTTGACCTTTGTTTCTGTGCGAACTCAGTTCTAAGATCACGTATACCGTGTCCTTCCAGGTTGTTTTGCTGCGGTCTTGTTGCCCTCTTGGTGCCTCTATCTCTGTAGCTTGGTGCATCGGCCCTCCCAAGGCTGAGCTGTCTGGGGGAGAATTATAGAGGAGCTTCTCTATCTTAGAGCTTTCCTGTCTTCTCAAAACAGCAAGGATCTACTTTAGATCAATTAGAATCACTCTAGCATGTGGAAGTGTTACACTTACAGATATCATCTCCATCCAGTCATGCCATCACAGAAAGCTATCTGGTTTGTAAAGCATGGTTTCCCCTTGGTGAATCCATGTTGACTGCTCCTGATAAACTTCTTCCATGTCAAAACACTTGCTAACATCCAGGTAAAAGACATCGCCTTATTTCCCCGACCTGTATGGGTTTAGCAATCTCTTCCTTCTCCTTCAAGTGCCTGGAAATGACAGCAGCAGGACTCACTCCATCACCTTCCCAGGGAGAGAGGTGGGGTTGACAAGCCTGTAATTCTCCCAATCATTCTTCTTGCTCTATATTGACATTTTTGATGTCTGCCTATTCTGAGGACCCTAGAGCCTCTCTGGACTTAGGAAAACAAGTCACTGCAAAAAACGTCACTTTTTTAAAACACATCGAGATCTTTATTTACACATGCTCTGGATGAAACAGGAAAGCAAGTTCTTCATGTAGAAGCAGAATGACAAATGATGTTTATTGCTGGAAAGAATATCTCCAGTGAAAGATAAGCAAAAGAAGCTCCCCAAAACAACAGTCACAAAAACTTCAGAAGAAAGGCTAGGGGTGTAACAACTTCTATTATGAGTGATATTAAGCAGATGATGACCAGCTCATTGGCTCTAAAAAGCATCCAGTCATCCGTATCCACACTGCATTCTTGAGCTCCTGGTTCTTCATGCTGTAGATGAGGGGGTGCACTGCTGGAGGCAGCACCGAGTACAGGATTGCCACCACCAGATTCATGGATGGAGAGGAAGTGGAGGGGGGCTTGAGGTGGGCAGACATGCCAGTGCTGATAAACAGAGAGACGATGGCCAGGTGAGGGAGGTACATGGAAAAGGCTTTGTGCTGTCCCTGCTCAGAGGGGATCCTCAGCATGGCCTTGAATATCTCTACATAGGATATCACAATGAATACAAAAAACCCCAAAGCAGGACAGGAACCAATGGCAAGCAGCCCAATGACCCTGAGGTAGGAGTCTGAGCAGGAGAGCTTGAGGATCTGGGGGATTTCACAGAAGAACTGGTAAAGGGCATTGCCATGGCAGAGTCGAAGTGAAAATGTATTGGCAGTGTGCAGCAGAGCACAGAGGAACCCACTGATCCAGGCAGCTGCTGCCATGTGGACACAAGCTCTGCTGCCCAGGAGGATCCCGTAGTGCAGGGGTTTGCAGATGGCAACATAGCGGTCATAGGCCATGACAGCGAGGAGACAATACTCTGCTGTGAACAAGAAGAGGAAAAAAAAGAGCTGGACAGCACATCCTGAGTAGGAGATAGCCCTGAAGTCCCAAAGAGAATTGGCCATGGATTTGGGGACAGTGGTGGAGATGGAGGCCATGTCGAGGAGGGAGAGGTTGAGGAGGAAGAAGTACATGGGGGTGTGGAGGCGGTGGTCGCAGGCTACTCTGTGTCTGTGAATGCCAGGAGGAGGAATTCACTGATGGAGCTGCTGTTGGACATTTGCTGCTGTGGGCATTGGGATCTGTCCAAGGAGAAAAAGACAGTGAAAAGTTAGGGTAGATGTCTCAGTGCAAAACCTATTCCACTTCTCATGGATTCCTCCCACATCCGCTCTAACCTTTCAGAAAGAACTTTGGCTGGGAACTCTGTTGGGTGCTGGCTTAGGATGCCGCAGAGAGCAGGGGACTGTGCTGTGGATTCTGGGGGTATCAGATCGACCCTAACTCAATAGATTCATAGGAACTGCAAGTGATGTTAAATAAAATTGACTCATGGTATTAAAGAGATTTTCAGCACTGTCACTACCACTTCACTAAACTGCAGAGCAGAGCTCTAAGGATTTTGGTTTAGTTGTTTTGTTCTAGTTGGCCCACCACAGTGTGTGGTATATAAAAGACAGAAATCCTTGACATTTGTCATTGTGTCCAAGAGAAACCTCTTGGTTCTTGTAAGGCACAGGGACTATCTCTTCATGCAGAGTGAGGACAGTTGGTCTGTCCATCAACCCTGGTCTCAGCTGCCCTAGGCTGTCACCTCTTTGAGCTGGAGGGCGATTGCACCCAGAGGTTCCCCTCAGAAGAAGATGAACAATGCTGAGAGCAGATGAATCCATTCGCCCAGGGCAGATCTCCAAATTCCTCATAGGGTCTCATCCTACCCGAGGAGGAGCTCAGCTCTCCCCTCCCAGCCAGGGACACAGAGGTCCCATTACAGCTGCTTGCACACAGCCTTCCAGCAGCATTTCCATGGCCTCAGTACTGAGGGGCTGCGAGGTAACACAGAGACGGAAGGGAGAGCTGCACCCTTCTGGAAGACAGCCTGCAGCCCAACAGGACCTCCCAGGGCAGTAAGGGAAAGTCCAGAAGATTCCATGTCCTGAATGGGGAGTTGCCTCCTGAGCCCTGCAAACACCATTGCCTGGAGCTCCCACCTTAGCTGGGAACAAAGGCAGTATGCAGAGGAGGGGAAAAATGGAGAAATTGCCCAATTCTCCTGTTAGTGGAGGCAGCACAGGCACAAACAGCTGAGTGGTCAGGAGTTTTCCCTAATCTGGGGTCCCTCTGCCAAGCAGAGATGAAGAAGAGAAAGAAATAACTTGTGCAGCGCATTCCATATAGGAGTTGCCTCTGGTGTCCCAGAGTGAGTTGGCCATGGACTGGGGGACAATGATGGAGATGGAGGCCAGGTCGAAAAGGGAAACGTTAAGAGGAAGAAGTACATGAGGTTGTGGAGGTGGTGCTCCCAGTCTACGGCAGTGATGATGAGGCTGATTCCCAGCAAGGCAGCTAGATAGATGTTCTGGAACAGTCAGAAGCGCAAGAGCTGCTACTGTTGTGTTTCTGTGAATGCCAGGATGAACTGGGTGATGGAACTGCTGTTTATAAAATGTCTGTGGGCATGGGGCACTGTCCAGGAAGGAAAAGATGGTGACAGATTAGGGGAGATTTCTCTCTAAAAAATCAAAGCCATTTCTCATACACCCTCTTCCTGCTTCACACATCTCCTTTTCCTTTTGTAGACCTTCCTCAGATCAATGACTGCAGCCCCGGTCAGTGGCAGCTGAATGTGCCTTGAAGATCAGGGCCTCTGCCTTCTGCCTGCCAAGGATTCAGCCCAGCCCTGCAGCACTGTGTTCATGATCAATGACTGCAGCCCCGGTCAGTGGCAGCTGAATGTGCCTTGAAGATCAGGGCCTCTGCCTTCTGCCTGCCAAGGATTCAGCCCAGCCCTGCAGCACTGTGTTCATGGACGCTGTGTTCGACTTTTGCAGATTAAACTGCACCTAACACAAAGGGCTTCTTGGCATCTGCAATCCCAATGATAAAGAACCAAAATGGCAGAAAGCAGTCATGAGGCTTGACGCTTTTTACAGGTCCCCAGCTCACAAAGGAGCGTTCCTGGATGTCAGAACCCCTGACACTTCTACTGCACATGGGGAGAACAGAGTGAGTCCTGCAAGACAGGAGTATTACCTGTGTCTGAGTGCAGAGTGAGGGGAGGTGGTCTATCCCTCTCTCCTGCTCCCAGTTTCCCTGGGCTGTCATCTTTCTCAGGTGGAGAGTGATCATGCTCCCATGTTGCCCTGATAAACTACCTGACATTGCTGAGAGAAGAGGGATCCACTGCAGACCCCTAAAGGTTTCTCTCTTTCTCTAGGTCTCAGCACCCCACTGGTAGCCGATGAAACACACGTGGCTCCTTTCATCAACCAAATAACACTTCCCTCACATGTAGAGGCTTTATATTCTCCATGGGACTTTAAGATAATCAAGAGGTGTTATGGGACAGGTTTTCATCCTGCAGGGCAGCTCACAGCTCTAGGGGATAAGCAAGTGTCCTAGTGATGGCATCTCAGTAATGGTCAGCTCATATCCCAGCCCCACAGACTGTATTGACAAGATCTCCACAAGTGCAAGGAAAACTGGGACACTTGTTCCCATGGACACAGCTCCATGAAAGGACCCACAAGATCAGTGTGTGACTCTGCAGCTGAAACCCACCCCCCAGAGAGCCTGACAGCAGGAACAGCAAAATCACAACAATAACACAGACAAGGGGAGAAGAAAGGAAAATTACAGCGAGGGTCTGGCTCAGAGAGGCAAGGGCAGAGGCAGG